TAGAAGGTGTGTGTGTGTGTGTGTGTGTGTGTGTGTGTGTGTGTGAGTGTGTGTGTGTGTGTGTGAGAGTGAGAGTGAATGGAGCTTAAGCGCTCTTTATTTCACGCACTGAAGCGCTCGCGGTGACTTCAGTCTCCCTACACGAGGACACACACACACACACACACCTCCAGAACTGCTCTGAGAGTCACTTCATCAGCATTTCACCCTTTCCTTTGAGTACAACTATCATCATCGTATCATACACACTGAAGCGTAAACGTATTCATGGCAACCCGTCAAAATAAACGTTCAATTTATCTGGAATAAATTATGTCAGAAATATATTGTGCAGTAGAATGTAAGTAATACTACTAACAATAATAGTAAACCACAATTTGATTAAAAGATCAAATAAATTAGTGTTTTGTGCCTTCATTTGAGAACCAGAAAAATCAAAATACACTGACATTTTTTGGGGGAAAATATTTTAATAAATTAAGTTGTTTTTATGCACATAATATAACATGCTTAAACACATAATTTAGTAACAATAAAACAGTGTGAGAAAAACACAATTCATGAGGTCCAAAAAAATAAAATTTTATGTTAAACTTTTAATATATTGATGTTAAATTGTATAAGTTTCATGACTAAGTAATTTAACATGCTTTTTGATTAATACAATTTAATTTAATCATTAAAAAGGATTCCAGAAAAATAAAAATGGAAAGAATAGACTTTGGGAAAAATAAAAAGGGATTTCATATGGCCATGCATATTAGTGTCAAGATGAAGGAATCACACCATCACTCATTCTTGTTATTAGAGGATTGATGACTGAGTCAACCACAGTCACACGACCGGAAACTCACCCTTAAAACTGATGTACTGTTTCCCACCCGGAGCCTCTGAGCCGCTGCCGTCTAACAAACAACAACAACAACAACAATCACATGACAGGAAACCATTCACACTATCAGCCTGTTATTAATCACACGAGTGCGTGTGTGTGTGTGTGCGAGAGCGTGTGCGAGAGCGAGTGCGTGTGCGAGAGCGTGTGCGTGTGCGAGAGCGTGTGCGTGCGCGAGAGCGTGTGCGTGCGCGAGAGCGAGTGCGTGAGAGCGAGTGCGTGAGATTTTTGGGGGAAAATATTTTAATAAATTAAGTTGTTTTTATGCACATAATATAACATGCTTAAACACATAATTTAGTAACAATAAAACAGTGTGAGAAAAACACAATTCATGAGGTCCAAAAAAATAAAATTTTATGTTAAACTTTTAATATATTGATGTTAAATTGTATAAGTTTCATGACTAAGTAATTTAACATGCTTTTTGATTAATACAATTTAATTTAATCATTAAAAAGGATTCCAGAAAAATAAAAATGGAAAGAATAGACTTTGGGAAAAATAAAAAGGGATTTCATAAGGCCATGCATATTAGTGTCAAGATGAAGGAATCACACCATCACTCATTCTTGTTATTAGAGGATTGATGACTGAGTCAACCACAGTCACACGACCGGAAACTCACCCTTAAAACTGATGTACTGTTTCCCACCCGGAGCCTCTGAGCCGCTGCCGTCTAACAAACAACAACAACAACAACAATCACATGACAGGAAACCATTCACACTATCAGCCTGTTATTAATCACACGAGTGCGTGTGTGTGTGTGTGCGTGTGCGAGAGCGAGTGCGTGTGCGTGTGCGAGTGCGTGCGTGAGAGCGAGTGCGTGTGCGTGAGAGCGAGTGCGTGTGCGAGAGCGAGTGCGTGTGCGTGTGCGAGTGCGTGTGCGAGAGAAGGATTCCAGAAAAATAAAAATGGAAAGAATAGACTTTGGGAAAAATAAAAAGGGATTTCATAAGGCCATGCATATTAGTGTCAAGATGAAGGAATCACACCATCACTCATTCTTGTTATTAGAGGATTGATGACTGAGTCAACCACAGTCACACGACCGGAAACTCACCCTTAAAACTGATGTACTGTTTCCCACCCGGAGCCTCTGAGCCGCTGCCGTCTAACAAACAACAACAACAACAACAATCACATGACAGGAAACCATTCACACTATCAGCCTGTTATTAATCACACGAGTGCGTGTGTGTGTGTGTGCGAGAGCGTGTGCGAGAGCGAGTGCGTGTGCGAGAGCGTGTGCGTGTGCGAGAGCGTGTGCGTGCGCGAGAGCGTGTGCGTGCGCGAGAGCGAGTGCGTGAGAGCGAGTGCGTGAGAGCGAGTGCGTGAGAGCGAGTGAGCGTGCGCGTGAGAGCGAGTGAGCGTGTGCGTGAGAGCGAGTGAGCGTGCGCGTGAGAGCGAGTGAGCGTGCGCGTGAGAGCGAGTGAGCGTGCGCGTGAGAGCGAGTGAGCGTGCGCGTGAGCGCGAGTGAGCGTGAGCGTGAGCGTGTGAGTGAGTGAGCGTGTGCGTGAGAGAGTGAGCGAGTGAGCGTGCGCGTGAGTGCGAGTGAGCGTGCGCGTGAGAGCGAGTGAGTGAGTGAGTGTGCGTGAGAGAGCGGGTGTGCGAGTGAGTGAGTGAGTGAGTGAGTGAGTGTGCGTGAGAGAGAGCGGGTGTGCGTGAGAGTGAGTGAGTGAGTGAGTGAGTGAGTGTGCGTGAGAGTGAGTGTGTGCGTGCATGCGTGGGAGTGAGTGAGTGTGTGCGTGAGAGTGAGTGAGTGTGTGCGTGTGAGTGTGCGCGTGAGTGAGTGAGCGTGCGCGTGAGTGCGAGTGAGCGTGCGCGTGAGTGCGAGTGAGCGTGCGCGTGAGTGCGAGTGAGCGTGCGCGTGAGAGCGAGTGAGCGTGCGCGTGAGAGCGAGTGAGCGTGTGCGTGAGAGGGAGTGAGTGAGTGAGTGTGCGAGTGTGCGTGAGAGTGAGTGTGTGCGTGCATGCGTGGGAGTGAGTGAGTGTGTTCGTGAGAGTGAGTGAGTGTGTGCGTGAGCGCGAGTGAGCGTGAGCGTGTGCGAGTGTGTGCGTGAGAGTGAGTGAGTGTGTGCGTGAGAGTGAGTGAGTGCGTGCGTGGGGCTCTGGCTCCGCCTCAGGCTCCGCCTCCTCCTGCTGCTCCTCGACTCCGTTACTGAACACAAACCGGAGCAGAGCATCAATAAAGCAGCTGAGTGCTCTGAAGCAGTGAGGAAGATCATCTGATGCTGGTACCTGACAGGCGGCGCCGGCGGCTCGTAGTAGGTGGTGCTGCTGGGACGGTCCGGGGCCGGTTCAGGGGAAGCCCGAGTCTCCACCTGCTCCTCCTCAACCTCCTCTTCTTCAGACTCTGATCAGACACACACACACACACACCAGTGCCAGGCTTTTCAAACCTAACTCAAGACCTTGAGAGACTCAAAGTATTTCCTGACACTCAACTGCAAAACAGGAGAACTGCGAGTTTAAATACTCAAGAGGTTTTATTCAAATCTGTGTCACGTTCTCATATCAACACGCATGGAGATACTGGACTTTGCTGTTATAGATACTCTTATTTTGAAATGTCTATGCTTTACTACTTCAGCTGCTCATTCAAAAAGATGAGATATCTGCCAAAATATCCATCTTACATCCCGTCTACAACATTATAATAGAAAAACTATAACGTAAACCTCGTCAGTTCATCAGGGGTATGCTAATTAAAGCTCGTGTAGAGATGCAGTGCAGACAGAATGACGTGGCTCTGATCCACCGGAGCTCAGACCAGCACAGCATACAGCTGTAATCATGATCACGCATTAGACGTCTGTGTACATTCACCTAAATAACACGTCTGCAGTGTAAACATGACTCGCGTGTCACAGGCGTGTTCAGAACCGAGTGTGTGTGTGCTGAGTGTGTGTGAGAGTGTGTGAGTGTGTGTGAGAGTGTGTGTGTTTGAGAGAGTGTGTGTGTGTGTTTGAGAGAGTGTGTGTGTGTGTGTGTTTGAGAGAGTGTGTGTATGTGTGTTTGAGAGAGTGTGTGTGTCTTTGAGAGAGTGTGTGTGAGTGAGTGTGAGATCAGGATTTTTTTATACCTAACTTTGTTTAAGGATGGTTCTCAACTATGTTATAAAATATATAACAAAATTATTTGATATACCATTTCGCTTTATAAAATATGTGTGTAACTGGTTTTCCCATTAAGCACAATGTTATCTATACACTGTATCTAATTTGCATATTAAAGTGATGTTGGGACAGCATGAAGTGTAATAATGGGAGTAGCAATTGGCCAGATTTTCATAATAATATCTAATATTTCATAAGAATATTGATATATAATTAGTTTTCCTATTCAATTCTTTTGTCTCCCAAAATGTGTAATAAACATGCGTTTAGTCCTGGTGTCTGGACGTGTATGAAATCATCTCCTGTTTCATAAAAAGAAGTCATATTTTGATTTGAAACCCCGTAACATTTTCCTGAGATGTTGATTTATTACAAACAATTTGAAAATGAATCAGATTTAAATGATAATTACAAAATATTATCATGTTTCCATAAGAGTGTCACTAAATTAATGTCAGCCATTTTTAAAAACCAAGGAGTGGGAGTGTTCTCGGTGAAACATCCAATCATGTGGCATCTCTGGAAAGCCCTGCATGTGCTCTGTACAGGACTCCAGACTCACACCTGAGACACGTGAGGTCTCAGAGACATTCACTCAAATATAATGTCCACCACAGAGGCAAAAACTCCATAGCTGGGTCTCAGGAGGATATATAAATAAACACATAAGTATAAATGTGTTTCTTCTCTTTGATCAAGTGCAGTTGTTCTGGAGTCTGGCACGAGCAGCAGATGTCAGTGTAACACACAGAGTTTAAGAGCAGTGCTGATGAGATGAGATGAGATGAGATGAGATCAGGGCATGTCACACATCACTGTTAATGCTCACTTCATGCCAGAATTGTGTGCTAGACAGAGACACGTTACTGTACTTCCAGTGAATCAAGCTCACAATCACACATTCATACGAGATCAGACTCAGTGTCTCCTTTATGTGTTTAATAACAGCATAGCTTCATCTTTAGGAGGTTAGATGATATCTCACGGTTCAGTTTTATACGTCTACACTCTTAGAAATAGAGGTCAAATACTATTTATAAAATACTTTATTTAATAAAATTGTGTATCTAGATTTTTTGCTAAAATATTTAGGCAAGATTTATGTTTTTAACATTTCCATGCAGATAAACTAATAAACGTGATGTGATGCATATTTGTCAGTCATAAATAAATGAAACAGGTCAGATTTCTGTAATAATCTGAATGCTTTAAACACCATGACCAGCGTTACATGTTTATCATCAATAAATCCAATTTTGAGAATTATGCATCATATTAAGTTTACTTATGTTAAAACTTTGTAATCCAAATTTTATATGCAATTCAAATATATAAATCCTAATTATAGAACTGAGAGTTCCGGAATGAAACAGGTCAGATTTCTGTAATAATCTGAATGCTTTAAACACCATGACCAGCGTTACATGTTTATCATCAATAAATCCAATTTTGAGAATTATGCATCATATTAAGTTTACTTATGTTAAAACTTTGTAATCCAAATTTTATATGCAATTCAAATATATAAATCCTAATTATAAAGCGGAGAGTCCCGGTGCTTGATTCTGATTGGCTGAGCCGCGTTCGAAGCTGTTATAAATGACTCTACAAAGTAACACACACCTTTGTTTACGTTTGTGTGTTGCTCGGCAACCACTTTGTAGCAACCACAACTGTTTCTGAGGAGCTACATTGTTTGGTGGAAGAACACTGTGTTTATTAATATCATTACACTTTATTTGCTCTGCTTTATTTTGTGAAACCTTACTACGTACATGTGAATAACCGTGTTTTATAAAAGCAATAAACCCTGTGAAGCCGTGGTTTACAGTGAATTTATAACAGCTATGCCCCTAACAACGCCCCTTAGCTGTTATAAATTCCCCGTAAACCATATAAACCCTGTGAAGCCGTGGTTTACAGTGAATTTATAACAGCTATGCCCCTAACAACGCCCCTTAGCTGTTATAAATTCCCCGTAAACCACGGCTTCTTGGGGTTTATTGCTTTAATTTAGGCCTAAAGATGTTTTAAGCCTAAAGAGACTCAAGAAACCAGTTCTTTAAATGTGGTTTAGATGTGATCTGTTTGCGTCTGTGTTTATGCAATTTACCAAATAAAATCACAAGATTCATTATGAAGTTAACAAAGTATATAAACATCTTTGCAAGTGCAAGTTCTATAAAAAATACATCCAGATAATGACTCGTCTTCATGCGCGAGGGAGATGATTTTGATTGCTGGTTTCTGAGTGAGAGTTTGACTCGGTCAGACGAGAATGATCCGGTGTGTGGTTCATCAGCTCTTCGTCAGGTTTCAGTTAATTAGTCTCTTCTGAAGCCTCTATTGTCTGTCGCTTGCCGGAAGCGCTGAGACTCAAAGCAGCTGGAGACAAAACCACGGAATGAAGGCCTTTTGTCCAGCGGCTCGTTCTGGACTCTCGGGAACGGCATTCCTTTGGCCGGCGTTCCATAGCAACACATTCCACCTATGACAAAAGAGCTTGTGTGTGTGTGATGTGTGTGTGATGTGTGAGTGTGTGTGAGTGTGTGTGAGTGTGTGTGAGTGTGAGTGTGTGTGGTGTGAGTGTGTGTGAGTGTGTGTGAGTGTGAGTGTGTGTGTGTGTGTGATGTGTGAGTGTGTGTGAGTGTGTGTGAGTGTGAGTGTGTGTGTGTGTGTG